TGGCCACTGATTGGCTAACCATGGTGACCATTCCCAACCGACACTTCCACTAACTCATAATACTACTACTAGTACTACTAGAGTGTATCTAACGCGTCGGTTCACAAGATTGGCGCCAAGGGACCCCATCGAGAGTCCCTGTGTGTCATGGCGGGGCATGGCTGACAGCCACCAACCACAACACACCCCCCAAGCCATGTCGCCGCCCTGACACCCAGCTCTTCGGCTTCGCTACTGCACTGTCTTTGCCCGCTTCATCGCCTTGGCCAATGTCTCATAGTCTTCGGCGTCCTTCTTGGTCGCCACATACATTTTGACCACGGCTGGGCATTCGCGCATTAACTTCTTGAGCGGCTCCCATGATGACTGGACGTCCTCGAAGCCTTGCCAAAACACTTTCAACATGAAGTCACTCACTCCGGGATAAACTTGTGTCCCGCGATAGATTTGACCTTCAATATAACGCCTTGTTCGGAGACATGTTCGAGGATTTCTTCGGTGACTTCAAAACTCGCTTCCGCATACATCGTCACGCGTGACGTATGGGCTTCTCGTTCTTCATGTGTCACCAGATGTTCTAACATCACGGAGAATTCGCCCACTGACTTGACGCGGTATGGACCGAACCAGGTGACGAGTAGCTTGGGATGATAGCGCTCGTCCACCCTTGACCATAACACATAATCGCCTTCGGTCACGTTGCAGACTTCGTAGTCTTCTGTGGCTTTCGCCGTCTTGTTCGCCCGTAGCTCATTGCGATTCAGCACTTCTTTGTGCATCGCATACAAACTTGTTCGTAGTTCGTCAAGGTTCTTTTGGATGTCCTTGTGTTGCCACTTGACTTCACAGAGATCCTTGTTCACGCCCACCACAACGACGTCCAAAGAGGTCGCTGGGTTTAGGGCCGTGAGAAGCTCCATTAGGAACTTGTTGGCCAATGACACTGCAGGGGTCTGGTTGAGATTGGACTGCACCACCGGGAGGAGGTAGTCCCATTCCTTCTCGTCCAACTGGTAGTCCCGTAGCATCACGCGCATGACTTGGAGAATATCGCGATTCATACGTTCCACTGTGCCGTTCCGCCATGGACAATAGGCCAGTGTGAGGTCGTGGTGCACCTTGAACTTGTGCGCCAACGCCTTCATCGCCACGTTCTTGAAATGTGAGCCTTGGTCACTGACCCAGACTCGTGGCATCCCAAATCGCTTCGTCCAGTCCACCAGTGCATCCACACACACTTGACTCGTGGGGCCGTCACAGGCCACCAGCTCGCAGTAGTGTGTAAGGTCGTCCTTCAACACCAGTACATACTTGGCGCCACTGTATGCTTCGCCCATGTATAGGTAGTCGAAGTGAATTCCTTCGTTGCGTTCCTTTGCGTGCCATCTGGGTGCATACGGTCTGTGGACCATCCTTCCCCCTTTCACATGAGGGAACAGTAAGCATCCGCGGAGGAATTCCGTCGCTCGATCGGCTAGGCGGTCGAGGTAGAATAGGCGCCGGATCGTGGCCACCAGTGCCGCGTGACCACGGTGCCCCATGCTGCCACAGTGGGCAACCGCCATGATCCGTTGGATCAGGTCGTCCGCCGCACTTGGTATCCATAGGCGGCCATCCACGTTCCATAGCACACCGTCATTGGTCGTCCTGGGCGGTCGGTCACGCGCATGTTGTTCTTGCGCTAGACGGATGTCATCTACACTCGACCACACAAAGTCGTCGTCCAAAGGCCGCAACTTCTGTTGTGGTCGAGTCGGTGTCTTGGTATGTGCCGGGCGCCGTTTCTTCGTCCACTTGTGACTGCGCCGGACGAGTACTCGATTTGCCACCAGACGTGAAATCGGTTGGCCCTATCGACTCATCATGTCCGCCCATAGGTTATGGACACCGTCGATGTGTATAATGTCATAGCGGTAGCCGCCAATAATGGCAGCCCACCGCATGAGTTTCCCCCGGGTGTGTGCTTTCCACTCTTCACCGGGGGCAAACACATGGATCAGGTTCTTGTGGTCGCAGTACATGCGAAATCCAGTAGA